AATGGAATCAACATTATAAAATACTGGGTCATTTAGACTTGTGTCTATCCACAAGTGAATGACTTATTACGCTTGGTAAATCACTTAAAAATAAAATGACAAAGATGACACACTTGCGGAACCCCAGATTTTAAATCAATTTTATTTCAAAAAGACCAAATTTATCCATTTGCTCTCTACTGAAAAGGTAAGACATTATCCATTTTATAAATTAATTAGAAAATCCGATGAAATGCAACTATTTCAACAATAAACTATGATTGACTGTGTCAAATGCCTTACTAAAATCAGTATATGTCAAACCCGTTTGAAGGCGATATCTGAATGGTTCATTTACAGTTGAAGTGGATTCAAGAAGATTGATTATTGTTAATCGAATTTTTTTTGAAAGCATAATGAATCTGTTATCAGTTTTTCAAATAATGTCTCTGTAGTTTGAATGTTCTTTTCTACGACCAGATTTATCCAAAATTCTTGAGGGGTATCGCGCACACCAGCCAGCCAGAGACGAAAAGATATGGGACCGCAATTTCGATATGGAACATTTTTGCCGTATCAAATGTTTCAGCCACATTTTTTATTTAAAATAGCCCATTGAAAACGGAATCTACAATATAAATTGGTGTAGACCGTTTTTCAAATCTTTATTTCGATATTAGTTTAATAGGACTGATACATATGTGTGTAAACTACAAACAAACCAATTAAAAACGAAAATTTCTATACATTGATATAAAAACCCATAACTTTTTTTGGAAGATAAACTTCTTATTAGGAAAGACAATTTACTTTTTAAACAACTCTAGCAAAGCAAAAACTCGGAGTTGTTTTCCAGAAGAAGATATTTTTAAGCCGACTTCGGGAAAGTAACCCATATATACAATATAACTATATTGTATACATGAATGCTTATGGTCCATTGATGGGGTTATACAAATCGGCTTGAGATTTGTAGCAAATTTTTTTCGAGATCATTATGGAAATTCACAAAATATATGCCAAATTATACCATTCTAAATGCTACAACATGTGCTATTATATTTCTTGGACCCGGAAATATTAGTCGTGTAACCATTTCATTCTAACAATTATGTATATTTATTATTATTACTAGCTGAACCCGGTGCGCTTCGCTACCCCTTTTGATTTTATATGCATTCAAAATTTTATTTACGAATATATGTTGGTTAAAAAAAAAAAAACAAATTTAAAAATTAAAAAAAATATTGCACTACTTAAATGCGTAAATATACAAAACTATTAGAAACGCAGTAACATGACATACATACACGAAGGGTTTGTCCTTCGGATTTATTTATTTCATAGCAAATACCAAGCGTGCAGTAAACTGCAATCTTTTGAAGTTGAGTGGCATTTCTATTGCAATTAGTGAATTCGAGATAGCAACATACTTCGCCGTAATAAGCGTATTTCAAATCAATTGTTGTGTTGTTTTTTAGTGTTAGCCTAAGGCGTTGTGGGTCAATGGTTCTTATTAAAATCATATCCCAATCTGATCCGATTTAAATATAATTTTAAAAAATTTACTTTTACACCAAATTCCGCCACACTATCCATATTTCATTGAAATTGATGCGTCAAATATGTGAAATTCCACACATTCTGAATTTCATTGGTATCGGTCATATATATTGTGTTCGGTGCATAACATGTATGAAATCGGCCGAAATATATATGTTATCTATACCCAAACTCCAACTGATTTCAATATAATTTGACAATTTTTTCTGGTGCCAGATTTCGTCTCTCTCGCTTTGGGTGCATCAAATATGTGAAATCGGCCGAGAATGTATATGAGAGCTATAACCAAATCTGTCACTCAAATTAAGTCACTCATGCCGAATTTCATTGGAATCGGAAATACGTATCGTGTTTTGTGCATCAAATATGTGAAATCGGCGGAAAATATATATGGGAGCTATGTCCAAATCTGAACCGATTTCAATATAATTTAACAAATTTATTTTCGGATCAAATCCCGTCACACATTCCAAATTTCATTGGAATCGAACATTCACATCGTGTTTGAGACATCAAATGAACGAAATCAATCGAAAATATATATGGGAGCTATATCCAAATCTGAACCGAAAACCGCAAACTTATTTCTGTTCCAAATTCCGTTTCGCATTCCAAATTTGGAGACTGTATCTGTAATCGATCAATAGATATGTGCATAGAAAATATAAATTTTTTGGAGGTACCTCCGATTCTGATGCTATATCTCCACTTCCAAGTGGAATTTCAAAAATGTATATAGCTTATGTTACTTTCAGGCGATGTTGCAGTATCCATGGAAATTTTCTGGAAAATCTGTTCAGTGGTTTTCGAGTCCATAAATTACAAACAAACATACAAACATTTTCCTCTTTTATAGATATAGATTTTTACTTATTTATTTATCTTTTTTTTTTGATTATAAAATTAATTCTGGAGTATGTCAAAAACAAGCTAAAAATGTCTATATTCAATATCCAATAATACTGGAAGAATACAGGAAATTAATTAATTTTTTTTTTGGGTGAGGTACAGAAATGAGTGGGCCAATATTGTCAGCTGAACGATGTCGGATATTACCATCGCTCAATATGAAATTTGTATTTTTTCTGTGCAAAATTTATAATTCTTTTATGAAAAAAGAGTGAACCAATATTGCCCATCTCCGAACTCAAATAAAGATTGTTACTAAGTAAAAAGACATTAAGTTCGGTTGGGCCGAACTTCTAATATCCTCCACCATTGGGTAAAGGAAACATTTTTATACAATAGTATCTGGAGTCAAACGTGTTCCACTTTAAACTACAAACACCAGTAAGATCGGAAGGAGTTATATGGGAGTCATACTAAAACGGGAGCCTATATAGACAATTTTATGCTTGAGCGTTTGTAATCTATTGCGAGTCTTAAATACCAAATTGTACATAATTTCGTGGATAAATGTGACTGGGATGACTAGAACCAATATGGACAATGTTTTGCGCTGGTTATAGAACCCATTTTGAAGCACAAATATCAAATTTCACACAAATCGTGAAATCGTAAAAATGCCGAGTATTCAATGGAATCCGTTATATGTGTGCTATAGAAAAAAACCTAGATAGTCAACATTCTGCCACCTGAGCTAAAACAAATACGTGGATAGATGTGACTAAAACCATCAAAATATCGAATGTCGAGATGTACCGTTATATGGGGGCTATACCATAACGCGGACCTATATAGCCAATGTTCTGTCACCGAAGCGGGAACCCATTACAAACAAAAAATACCATGTTTTAGATAAACCCGTGGTAAAATGTGGCAAAAATCTTCAAAATACCGAATATCGGGAGGTACTGTTAAACGGGGGCTATACGAAAACGTGAATCTATATATAAAATGTTCCGCCACTAGAGCTAAAACCCATAACGTACTACAAATACCAATTTCTAGACAAATTGGTGGAAAAATGTGGTTAAAACTATCAAAATACCGAATATCGAGAGGTACAGTGATCCGATATATCTCATTTTCAATACCAACCACCCTGGAAACAAAGCTAACAACAGTGCCAAATTTTAAAGCTCTACGTCGTGCTACAACGTGAGCTTTATCGTCATTTCAACAGACAGACGGACAGACAAGCAGACGGACTGTTAAATTGACTTAGAATTTTATGCTGATCATGACTATATATACTTTATTTGGTATATGACAATATTTAGAGGTGTTACAAACGGAATGACAAATTTAATATACCCTCCTTTTCAAGGTGGAGGGTATATAAATATTACATCGTACCAAGTTTGAACAATCGGAGTTGGAGGGGGTATTGCGAGATTAACTACTAAAACGGATATCGTCCAAAGATACCCAAGGTCTTAAACCGTTATTTAGATGAGCACAATGGGACCGTAGGGCTGAGGGAAAAAAAATAGCTAACAAAAATTCAAAAAACGGAGAACTTATATTTGCTAATTTTAAATCAAAAAATTTAGGAAACTATCATCCAGAATATCATTTTCATAGCGTAGGAATCTTTTTGGGGAAGACAATATCGAAGTAAAACGAATGCCAGCAAATGCGAAACTTTCCTCGTATTTATGTTTGTCGTCTTACCAACACCAAATCCCTTACATATGTACATGTATGTACATACATACGACCATGTAGGTACAAGTTATTGGATCCACGCTGACTTATAAACAGAAGGCCGTCTGTGAAGTCATTGCAATTTACTACGTCCCACTTGCCCAACTCCCCTCCCACCATTCCTTTATGGCATTAAAAATGTGGTCACAACAACATTGCATTTATTTGTTTTCATTTGTTTTTGTTTATAAAAACATTCGAGGCACTGTCATTGCATAGAGAGACAGAAACATACATACACACATACATATGTATGAACATGCACAGCACACGGCATACAAACATACATATATGGTTGCTAATGTAGGGGCTTCTTGGACAACAGCAACATTCTTCAGCGAGTGCCTGTGACCATTGCCAGTAGCAACACTGATAACGAAGAGAAAGTCAATAGGTAACCAGGTGGGGGTAGGAAGGTAGGTACTCGGTTCACTTGTTTTGAACAAACGAGGATGCATCTTTGCAAAGCTACCACCATTTCCGCTTCTTATCACAACTGGATGGATGAGCTACAAAGAGCTTGTTCTGCAAGTTACACATGAAAGTAGCGGTAAGTGGTAACTATTTAACGCTCGCTCACACGCTCTTGTTTGCTGTTACATGCCAACTCTTGGCGTTTCTCATCTGTTGTTGTTATCTCTTTGTTTTGGCAGCATCGTTCGTTTATTTCGTTCTTATCGAGAAACTAAATTTCTCGAAACAACACCCACTCCTTCCTCCCCCACTTCGTGATAAACAAATAAGTGCAGAATGCCATTCGGCCTCACACACACACACACATACACGCACCCATAACATGGGTCGAGTATTTTCTTGTTGACAGTTGTTGCTGCTGCTGTTGGGTTTACCTGTTTCTCTTTGCTCTCCTTTGGACTCGTTGTTGGATACTATAAAAAGTCATCTCTCATTCTCTATTTCATCTGCTGCTTTTTATGGTATCAAAAAAAAACAACTTTTTTGTATTATCGCATTAATTATACATTTTTTCTGTGGACATCTTTCATTTGTTTGCCATCATAGCAAAGCTATTAGGTATTTTTTCAATATTTTTCTATTCACTCGGATTGATTATTGACGTATCGAATTGTGTTTAATAACAAACGCACCGATTAGTTAGCAATTTTGTATTAGCAACAAGTTTACAACACAGAATATTTTTCAAACACTTTTTCTTTCTTCGTTGTCGGGTTGACTTGGAATGGTCGGTCGTCTCGTTGGGGAAACACTCACGTCGTCAGAGCACTCGCGACACGTCCGTACTCAGCAAGAGGCGCACACGGTTTGGCTGAGAACGCCAAAGTGAGAAGTGTTTTAAACAACGAATATTGGCAGAGATTTAGGAATCATTCATCAAAATCAGTGTTGCCAGTATTTTTCTGTCTTTGTGTCGCCAAATATGAAATCAGTTTGCCCCCAAAATCCCCAAAATGTAATTGAATCTCCCCAAAATTGAAACCCACACATATTGCATAACTAGTTAGGAAAAGATTAAAGATGGGTGTTGTCGATTATTAGATACCCCACAACCCTCTGGTTATATAAAAATTTGGAAAAATGGATTCAACAGTTCATATATTTCCATCAAATCAATAAACAATTTAGTGATAACTTACAAAGCAACATTGTTCTTAAGTCATCTCAGTATGATTTTCTCATTTTTATACCCTCTACCATTCCAAATATTTATAATAGACCCTACAAAGTACATATATTCTGTATCAGCGTAAAATTCTAAGACGATCTAGCGATGTCTGTTGTAATCACGCTTTCGAACGAATTGAGATGGCATACACGCATAGTTTATCAGTAGGCAGGTTAAGTTCGTAATTTTGATGATTTCAGTAACATTATTCACCGGAATCATTTCAAATTTCGTATTGGATGATCTAAGTGGGTACTACAGCCTATAGGAAAAAATTCATATGCTGGCCCAAGTCTTCGTATAGCCCCCATATAACGGTACCTTCCAATATTCGGAATTTTTATGATATTAGCGATATTATTTACCGGAATTATTTCAAATTTCGTATTTAATGGATAGGTAATGGGTACTACAGCCTATAACAACAATTTTCGTGTGCAGGTTCACGTTTTCGTATTTCGCCCATATAACGGTACCTCCCGATATTCGATATTTTAACATTATTTACTGGAACTGTTTCAAATTTCGTGTTTGAAGTTCGCAATGGGTTCTACAGCCTATGACAAAAAATTTCGTAAGCAGGTCCACGTCTTCGTATAGTCTCCATACAACGGTTTTCATTTAAATGATAGTTTTCGGATTTTATTTTTGGACATTTTCCAAGTTGATTCTAAGTGGTCTAAGTGGTGCTTTTTATACCCTCCACCATTCTATGGAGGGTATATTAACTTTGTCGTTCCGTCTGTAATTCCTCGAAATATTAATAATAGGCCCTACAAAGTATACATGCATAGTTTACCAGTAGGCAGGGCCGACATGGCCCACGTTTTCGTATAGCCCCCATATAACGCTACCCTCCGATATTCGGTAATTTCATTATTTTAGCGACATTATTTACCGGAATTATTTAAACTTTCGTATTTAAAGTTCGTAATGGGTACTTAAGCCTATGACAATAATTTTTGTATACAAGTCGAAGTCTTCGTATAGCCCCCATATAAAGGTACCTCTCGATAGTCGGTATTTTGACGATTTCAGCAACATTATTCACCGGAATCATTTCAAAATTAGTATTCAAAGATCTTAATAGGTACTACAGCCTATGACAAAAGCAAATTACGGCTTTAGGGTAGCTTAAATCTTTAATCGGCAGCAACATAGCGATCTACGCAGACTTGTAATTAAATCGTATCTGGAGGGGAAAACCCAAATACGTCGGGGAAATATTAAAAATATAATTGTAGTCAGTAGTTAGTTAATGACAGAATAATTAGATGCTCAAATTTTCGTCGAACGAAATTAAAGAAGTCGCTAAGACCTGCCCAAAGATGGTTCCACCTAGGCGGAATGTCATCTAATACGAACTAGTATGCTTCGATTTCTCTATCAAATTGGTAGTTAAAATAACCAGCTAAACTTTTCGGATCAACTAACGTTACGTTGTTAACCATAACCGAGGCCCTATACCCTTTTTCAGGCCTCGAGTGCCTTTTAATCGTCACCCACTCTTTATTCATACCTTTTCCAAGGTAGCAACACTTCTAATGGCCTAGCCACGTTTTCTTTTACGCTCCTCTAGCATCCGAATGACCTTCTCTGTCAATTCACCGGCTCTGGGATCTGTACAGGGTGTGATGAAATTCAAGCGTGATAGTGTGATTTCTTTATATTTGACTGGAAGACAACAAGTGGCTATGGACAGAAGTAAACAACAACATCAGCCGAAAAGGATCGAAAAAAAAGAAGCGATTTGATCTAAACCGGCGTCGCAGTGACCGAAAAATGGCTCGTGAGCTGAACATATCGCAATATTCCATTCAGCAAATATTAAAAAATGAGCACGGGGTGGTAAAGCCATTGAAATTCCAAAAAGAGCAAGAACTTACCCCGCAACAGGAATAAAATAGACTCAAACGAGCTAAAGAGTTGCTTCGCTTGGCCGAAAGTGATGAACTGCCGAGTTTGGGTTTCTCCGATGAGAAAACATTCCAGCATTCCAGTCCAGCAGTTTGTAAACAAACAAAATGATCGTGTTAACTTGCCAAAGAGGTCAGCTGAAAATGTGCACCTTCGGTTCCGCCGGCCATGGTCATAGTGTGGGCCGCCATAACAGCCGATGGTCGGTCTCCGCTCGTATTAATCGACCGTTGCATCAAAATAAATGCCGAATATTATCGCGAAAATATTATGCAGGGTGTATTAAAGTCTTGGACACGCAAACATTTTTGCCGCAGACCTTGGACATTGCAACAGGACTCAGCACCATCGAACTCACCCAAGAATGGTTACAAAATGAGGTTCCTCACTTCATTTCCAGCGCACAATGACCACCAAAATCTCCGGATACTCCGCGTCTGGAGTATTTTGGAAAGCAAGGTTGGCACTAAAAAATATCAAAGTGTCGATCGCTTCCAGCAAGCGCTTCGCCGGAAATAGGCCAAAATACCGCAGAGCAACATTCGGGCAGCGTGTGATGGTTTTATTGGCCGTTTGAAGGCCACAATTCGTGCCAAAGGTGAAAATTCAAACAAATCTAAACTTATTCTAAAACTTAATGCTCTTTCCGACATTTTTTGCTTTCATTCAATAAAGTTTTAAAATAAAAAAAAACAAGATAAATAGTATCTGTCGGTTTTGCCGGCAGATGTATACCCCAGCCGTGAGTTTTGATTATTCAAACTGTTGACCCTTTACAGGGAGGTTCCGAAGCAGTTGGCTATTACTGTCTGATATAAATATTACAACGAATCGTATTTGGACGATATTACTTCCAATACTTTATATCAGCTATAAATTTTTGGAAAATGTGAAAGTATGCGTGATGGACGGAAATATTCCACTTCATATAATACAGATAAAAATATTGGTATGTAAAAACATTTCAAGGATATCGAACATTTATATCCAAATTTATGCGAAGTCATAAATTCCGATTAATTACATATTCATATCAAATTTCTGGTTAAGAGAAATAATTAGATAAAGCATGCTTGCATAGAATCGCCGACTTATTTATGACTTATATATTGGAAATTGTGACCCAATGTTGGGGAGGTACCAGAAGGAGTTAACCAATGTATCCCATTTTCACAGCAGATATTGTGTTAGTAAAAAAATGGGATGTGTGAAATATAAAGAGAACCGGGTGCTTTTTTCGCATTTTATAATCGTTTTGGATTTTCAAAACTTCGACCCTTTGTTGGGGAGGTACCAGAAGGAGAAGTCCCATCTCTATCATCTTTATAACAGATCTTGAGCTAATAGAAATATTGAGATTTGCCAAGCCTGAATGGAATCTGATATTAATATGGCATTTTATGAACTTCATAGATATTCAAAATTTTGAACCTTTGTTGGGGAGGTACAAGAAGGAGTGGACCGATATATTCCATCTTCACACTAATAATAAAAATATTCTGATGTGTGTAATTTTAAGGCAATGGAACTCTTACATCACATTTTTGAAGATTTAGAATTATTTTAAATGTTGACCCTTTATGGGGGAGGTACTTGATGGAGTGGACAGATTCTGTCCATTTTCGCACTTGACCTAGCACTGATGTAAATATTAGGATTTGCAAAGTTCGAGCAAATTCGGATTATCCTTCCTTTTTCTGTGCAGTAAAATATATATATTTTTTTTGAAAATATCGACAATTAACGCCTGGCTTTAGGTTTATAAAAATATTGGGATGTGTGAAATTTGAAGACGATCGAACTCTTATATAAATTTATATATTTTCTATAATTTTTTTAAAATGTTGACCCTTTGGGGGGGAGGCATTTGATTGAGTGAACCGATGAAATAAGCATTCCCATCTTTGCATATTCTGTAATTTACCATGTCAAATTTCACTGCATAGAAAGCAGGTTCCCATTTATGATTTGTAATGAATAATTTTGAAAAAAATTGTAAACATATGATTGCATGGCTTTACATTCTTAATTCTACAATGGACTTTACCTACCTTCTTAATTCTACCAAGAGTAATACGGACGCACAAAATATTTTACCATTGTGGGAAAGTTGAATGTTTTTGTTCGCTTCGTCGAATTTTAGGTAACGCAGTAATGTGACAATTCTAAGCTCCAATTGACGTATTTGGAATTCCAAATGGAAATTCTGAATTTAAGTCAACGTTGTTTGCATGGAAATGGAAATACTGAAAAACAAATGAAATTTGAATCGCAATTAAAATTAAGGGTATATTAAGATTGTCATTTCGTTTGTAACACCTCGAAATATACATTTTAGACCCCATAAAATATATATGTTCTTGATCACCATAAAATTCTATGTCGATTTAGCGATGGCCGCCCGTCTGTTGAAATCACTCTACTTCCCCAAATTTGGCATTTGAAGTTTGTAATGGATGCTACAGCCTATGACAGAAGATTGTCTGTACAGGTCCACGTCCTCTTTTTAGCCCCCATATAGCGGCACTTTGATGATTTTAGCGACATTATTCACCGGAATTGCTTCAAATTTGGTATTTTATGTTCGTAATGGATACTACAGCCTATGACAGAAAATTGTCTGTGCAGGTCCCCGTTTTGGTGTAGCCCCATATTATAGTACCTCCCTATATTCGGTATTTTGATGATGTAGGTGCACGTCGTCATAGGTGCACGTCGTCGTAGCCTATGACAGAAAATTGTCTG